AAATAAAATAAAATATAAAATAAAAATAATTGCTGAAAACCAATCCCAAAATCTCAAAAAAAAAAAAAAAATGCTTCTGTCATTTCCAGAAGTGAATTAAGACACCATTTTTCCTTTAAAATGTGTCCTCAAAGTTGTTTCACATTTAGCTAACTTTTGGGAAATTTCCACAGCAAGTTTGTCCTCCAAAGTCAGTCAAAAACTCACACATACCTTCCTGTGTGATGCAGATGGATCCACAGCCCATGCCCACTCGTAAAGCATCAACACCAGCATCTATAAGATTCTTTGCTTGAGCAGCAGTCACCACTGTATACAAGAGAAAGAGAATAAAACACAAAGAATATGCTATTACTCGATTTAAGTATGGAAAACAACTGTAGATCCATGCATCTTAAATATGTCTAATGTTACACACGTTATACAGAAAAGAACCACATAAAGGACAAAAAAGCCTCACCGTTTCCTCCCACCACTTGTAGTTCTGGGTATTTCTGTTTGATGTAGTTGATCATACTGATCTGAAACACTGAGTTCCCCTGAGAAGAGTCCTGAGACAGAATAACAGAAAAACCATCACATATCATGTAGGCTTAAGAGCTAAAAGGAACAACATTGTGTGTATACTGTGATTTTGGCCCCAGTTTTGCAGTCTGAGACCAACTTTGGAAATTGTAAAAGACTTCTCTTATTTTATGCAATATTATTTTAATTTTGTGTGTCACACAAGGAATGAATGGTTGATGCAATTCTATTCTGCAGTCCTGTAGAATTTAGGTTCTACCCTGCCCTAATCCACCTGCTAATTAATTTCCCAGTGAAACCAAAGAACTTGATTAGCTTGTTCACGTGTGTTTGATTAAAGATGTAGCCCAAAAGGTGTGACAGTACGTTTTGGTTACATCTTTGCACATAAATCAATTTTTTGCAAGCGATGACATTATTCGTCAACTTTAGTCAATATTTGGCAACTACAACAACAAACACCTGTTGTTATTAAGTCTGACCTACAAAATTATTTGACCAACACAAAATCTAAACATCATAGACTGGTCACTTGACTCAGTACAAAGTATTCAAAATCCAAAGCTGTATAAGTGGTGTAGACATAAAAGTCATGGGGTCAGCGAGAAATTAATACTTTTATTCAGCAAGAATGCATTAAATTTATCAAAAGTGAGTGCAGACATCTATTAAATGTAATGTGGTGTTTTGGGTTGTGTTTCTTGTTCATGTTGTCATGTCTTTTATTTTGGAGTTTAGTCATGGTCCCTGTTTGTGTCATGCTTCCCTTGCCCTCATGTATTCATGGCATTGGTGCCTCTGTTCATTGTGTCATGTTCTGATTGGTTGTCTAGGTCATGTGTCTTGTTTCCCATTGGTTTGTTCTTGTCATGTGACCCTCATTGTCTGCTATAAGTAGCCCTCATGTTGCCATTGTCTTGGGTCGTGTATTGATGTTGTAACCCGCTGTCGGTGAGTCTAGTCTGTTCATGCCATGTCAAGTCTGTTCATGTCAAGTCAAGTGTTGGATTATTGTTTGAATGTTTGGATCACACTGTAAATAAACTGCACTTGGGTTCTCACTTCAACTCGCCTTCAGTGGATGAATCGTTACAGAATACACGACCACCACAATGAACCCAGCAGGTCGTCTTGTTCACCTTCGCCAAGGAAACCGGGCCATAGAGGATTACGTGGAGGACTTTTGTGGACTTTATCATCAGGTAGATTTTAAGGATAGCTTCCTGAAAGACATTTTCCGTTATGGTTTGTATAAAAATTTATCTCATTTAATGCCACGCAATACCCCTCAATGGACTCTTGAAAAATACATTGACTTTGCCTTGTTGCTGGCTGATTCACCATTTACTGTGGGGGTTGCTGAGGAGGAACACAGCTATCCTACAGTACCCGCCACATCAGACCTTTTCCACGTCCCGACCATCATGTCAGGAGTTGTTCACGTCATGTCTGCCAAGCCAAGGTCTGCTCACGTCACGCCTGCTACTCCAGGACCTGCTAACACCATGCCAGTTAAGTCAAAATTTACTCATGTCATGTCCACCATGTTAAAACCTAATCACGTCATGTCTGCCAAGCCAGAGTCTGCTAACGTCATGTCTGCTACCCCAGGGCCCGCTCACGTCACGTCTGTCAAGCCAGTGCTTGCTCATGTCATGCCGGCACCTCAAGAGATTCTTCTCAACAAGGCCGCCATTGAAGAGCTTCGTTGCAAGATGGCCGCCACACAAGAGTCTCTTC